CCCTTGAAAATTCCCCCTTCATAGTGACACAAAAAGAACAATTCGATTACTACTGTATGCCATGTTAGTTTTGTCTTCCATTCTGATGTTTATTAACTAAATTGTTTGAGAAAGTAGACATTTGAGTAAATTAATGAACTGAAAAATTGTGGTAATTAAATGCTAATAACTACCTTTACTTCGGATAATCTGAGATCTATGTTGAAAATCATTGAATTGATAATATTGTACGTTTAATGAAAAGGGACTAAAACCGCTCTGATGTAAAGTCGTGTTTTGGGGTCTAATGGTTGAACCAGCAGTCGCGAAATTGGTACCGTGGCTGAAATTTGAGCCTAACGCATCGAGGAAAGCGCTCAAATATGGTAGTCCTAAGCTCTCAGCTGAAATGACAACGTCAATGGTGTCAGCAATTAGGAACTGAATATAATTGAGATAGAAATACTACAAAACTGTCCACATCAAACTATTTGGCTTAGTTTTTGTTAATATGTGATATAATGAAAAAGAATATACTAGAAATAAATAGTTACTAAGGAAAATATCATGTCATGGAGAGAAGAAATTAGCAAATCAAGGCCTGTGTAAACACAGTATCTTTAGAACAAATTCGTCTCCTCACCGTAGGTGCTCGAGATTTTGTTTGAGCGTCGTTAGGCAAAACGGAACCTCCTAGGGGGCCAATTTTTGGTCAGTTTGATCCAACATGTACGCAGGTTGCGCTCACACATAAGTTATAAGGCCTAACGTAAAATTTGGTCCATAATTTGCACGCCCGTGAAAAGAACCTCTATGTCACACATGAGTAGTCATATATAAACCAATTTTTGCCTTGATCATTTTCCTATGTAAGACAACTATAATTGTTTTTCCTCCAACATGTTAAATGGTACACTTTGAACTCCAATTTCTCGGAGCATCAGTTTTGACAAGTAGATATATGATTTCAATGTTCTCACCAAAAAAAAAAAAAAAAAAAACTTTTTAATATATTTCTAATTTTCTCAAAAAAAAAAAAAAAAAAAAAGTCAATCTAGTGATCTACTTTGATCTATCAAAACGAAGGAACAAATCCAACTCAATTTATTGTCATAATTAGCCCATACAAAAGACTTTTTTTCTACAGTTTTCAGTATGTTATTGGCTTATTTTGGTAATAAGCACACAAGATGGCGAAATACTTAAAAGCTTCGCCAAAATATGCACAGAGTACCAATTGCAAGAACTTCAACTGTAAATTATTCTATCCTTCTTGTATAAATGAATGTGCAAGCAGAAGAAAAAAAAAATTGTCTTCTTAGTTCTTACCAATAAAATCAATAACCAGCCTGCCGTTGCAGTACCGCCCTGCCGGTCCATGGAAGTACGACTCTCCATTGGGCGGCGCAGCCTGGCCGAACGCCGCGGACAAGCCACCGGTATCAGAATTCGAGTCGCCAAAGTTAAATATAGCTGGAAACTCACAAATGGTTTTAGCATATACTGGATTTGGAATTGAAAGTGATAAGATTACTGTAAGAAATAATAATATTATCTGAGAATGGGATTCCATGATAGAGAAAGCTATGCAGGAGAGGACAAAGCAAAAAACAGTGAATGATTTGAAGAGACGAAGGAAAAGACAGTTTTCATGTGGTCCGAATTCACGTGGTCTGTTAAACTATGACTCGATCCTCCCGCTTTCAACTTTTGTCGGTAAAATTTGAAGTGAAACATGTTTTCTATAATAATTAAATTACTATAAGGATTTTTGAAGACCACTATTACATTACTATTTTTAGGACTGTTATTACATTACTAATAAAGGATTTTTGAATCTTTAATATTGCTGGAACTGCAATGAAACGAATAGAAGATACTAACTTGTTATTACAACAATCTTAATTTTCTTATAAAGGCTAGCTAATTGCAAAATTTAATTTTATCATAATAGTATTTTTATCTTTTAAATGCTTTTGTTTCAAATAATCCAGGTGGTTTCACATAAAAAAAATCTAATTATCATTCTTGACTTTCAAAAACGTGTCAATATGTGTCGTTCGATATGATGTACACGTGGACGTACTCTTTAGTATATAGATTTTATGCTTAGACACACATTCGATTAATAATCTCATATGTTTTAAGTAAACATGTAAGATAAGAACTAAATATAGAACAATGAGCGGTTTGTCTTTCTAGAGAGAAACAAGCAATACCCTTTTTATATGTCTAAAGATCCATCCATCAAAATGCTATACAAACAGCTATTTATAGTGACCAGGTCAATATGGTCACCATTGAATCCGATCTAAGTGGCCTAATCTATCAAATTCCGGTGTCGCATCATCTCTATCTCACATTAATTACATTAATAGACATTTGATAAGAGGTCAACCACTCTATATCTCTAGACTGACATTATTGATACCTATTTAATGACAACATCACATTAATTAATCATAAAGATACGCTTATCAGACCCTCCTCTGGGCATTAGGGACTTCGGACATTAAGGGGTTCGATAGAAAGAAGTACCCCCACTTCGGAGAATCCAATATAACGACCTCGGCTATTAATGAAATTACTTTCATAACTCCTTCGCTCTTGATCCAATATCACGTGTGTGATCATGGGGCTTCCATGTGGTCCTCATTGAGAGCACTACTTATGATCAATAACAATCTTGAAAGTGCTTATAAGTTAAAATCAAACTGATTGGGTGACAAGCGACATATGGCCTGCTACTTTTGCATGTTTCTGATTATAATCTGTTTAAAAGTTGTTTATTCATTGGTATTCTATTTTTGGAATCCCAAGTCCAAAAGAATGGCTTTCTGGGTTGGCTGATGGCATTGCCCCTAATCATTAATGCTTTTCCAGTTTCCTTTTTGGGCTTAATTAAAGGTTGAATCCCAACCTTAAAAGGCCCCCACCGTCCCGCCCGTAAAACTTTATGAGGGAGGTAAATCGCGGAATGTACCGCAGCAGGCTAGGAAACAAGAGCTGTCTGTACACTGCGCCTATAAGGAGTCCAATTCCATGTTTCAGGAATCGAACCCTCACACTGCGGCTGTCAGCAAGACGTGAGATAACCTCACTCCTGTCCTTTACACCACTGAGCTATGCCCCAGGGGCCCTTTTTGGGCTTAATTAATTACTCCCTCCGTCGATAATCCTGTTTCCATTTTTGTTTATCCCAAATTATAATCCCTTTTTATTTGAGAATGTAGTTAATATATTAATTTCCTAATATACTCCTATTTAGTATGCTTCGTTATCACAAAATCAATTCATTATTTAATTGTAGTTGAACAATAAATTTAAAAAAAAAAAATCGTCTTCCATGACATTTATTAATTTGTATTTGTTTTAGATGACTTTAAAATGTTAATCATATTGATTCTTGCGTTAAACAATTACTAATACCAAAAATAGTTTAACTACCTCGAATATTGGATGCATAATTTTATTACTTTTAATATTGATTACATTAATTTAGGAATATATTAGGAAAAATGATAATAAAATTTATTATTGACTATATTTACTAAATTTTTTTATTCTATGTGAAAAATTAAATAGTACTTTTTTAATGGGTCGGGGGAATCGGAGATTTGGGTTTTAAAGTTATTCTCCAAACAAAATAAAATCTAATGAAGCACACGCATGATTAAAAAAAGGACCATTGTAATTTTTTTTTAGGCATGTTTGATTGCACCCCAATTTCATGGAAAATGGAAATCAAATTCCATCGTTCCAATTTTTTGTTGTTTGGTTGCAAAATTTTTCTTAGAATTCGAATTCCACCTTTCTTGCCACGTAAGCCAATTTTTAGCTTTTCCTTGAATTGGAATTAGAATTCCAATTGCTGGGTTACTGTAGTGGTTTTTCTCTCATTTTTTTTTTTTTTTGGTAATGAAAATAAATTCTAAGAATTATTGTAAAAAAAAAAATTTCCCTTTCATTGACAATTTCTATTTAAAATAAAGTCAAACGAATATCAAAATATAGATTTTTTTTTTTTTGACAATGAAAACAAATTTTATCTTCAATACCAGTAAATTATATCCTTTTAATTGACAATTTTGATGTAAAACAAAATCAAACGAATACCAAAAAATATTTTTATTTCAACATTTTCCAAGTGAAAAATTATATCGATCAAACAAAATAAATTACAATTCTCAAGAAAATAATTTCTAGACAATTTAATTTTTTGAAATTCATTTTCTTTTCACTCAAACACCACCTTTGTGATCAAACGAACCCTTAAATACTTTATTTAAAATAATACTCTCTATAATACAGTAAATATGTAAAAAGTAGACCAAGAAAGAACGTGTCTTTATCCAAATCAATCATTTACGAAAACAGAGTCTCGTACAAATGAGCCACGTGCCAGAGACCAGATTATCCTTTAGAGGAAAATGAACTATTAAATAGTTCAACGAGTAAGGCGCTGGTCAACGGAACCAGAGATTTTTGGGTACGTTCCCCCCTGCGGACTCGTCATTTTTGTGGATTTTACTATTTTCCACATTGATCTCGTCCAGAAGATAAGATTAGTAAAGAACCAAACACGGCCCATATGGACCAATTTTATCTTGTGGAAACTAAACCTCCACTACATACATGGATGCGATGCTCAAAAGGGTATCTTGATGGGAGAAGTGCTATAGTGATGGGCCTTCTGGACAGGCCGAGGTGACAGGGCGAAGGTGTTGCCGGATAAAACTCTTTGGACAGGGGCTGCCGGCAGACAACCCCCCAATAGGGGACTGCCACATAGGCCCCTGTCTATCCATATAGCATTCCCTGTGTTGCCACCTCAGCCCTATCATCTGGACCTGTCCAAAAGGCCTGTTAGAGTAGCAAAATTCATCTTGATGGTACAATCGAACACACGATTATAACTTCTTTTTCTTTTCTTCAATATCGTTACATCCACGTCGCTAATATGTTACAAAGAGTATAAGCAGCAAAATAAGACAAACTATTGCAGAATGAATTAGAACAGCTGAAGAAAACAAATTATATAGAACAGGGAAAAAAACGTTACGGTTCAGAAAAAGAGGGGGAAAAGCCAAAATCGGGGTGGCGCAGCAAGACGGGCATTACAATAGAGTCCTTATGAAAAATGCGCAAAATAGGTTATGCGACTAAAAGAAAGAAAGAGTGCAATTTTACAATTAATCAAGCGATATCAATGTCAGTATTCAATAATTCTAGCTCCATTTCTCACAACCAAAGCGCGAGAGATTTAATGAGAGCTGCCGAAGTTTTATTTTGCTCTAACGTCAGAGGACTAAAAGCAGAACGGCTCAAAGAATCCACAATAACTGAAATTCACCACCTCGGCCTTGACCTGCCATATGATAACAAGTACGGATCACACATCCTAACTTCAAGTCAATAGATCTCAAGTATATAATCCATGCTAAGACACAATTGCATGGACTTTGAGTAAATGTTGCAAGACCAAGAGAAATTTTTTTTTAAAAGAAGGTGAATGTTAGCAAGATATACCTGTCCACGTCTCTGCTTCCCACAAATCCTCTAACCCCGCCACCTTGAGAAGCTTTCCTGTCATCAATCGGCCTTGTCCTGGAATTTACAGTGCCACGAGATCGAGGCCTCTCCATGTAGTCAACAGCTCTGGGATCTTGATATGCCTGTGATAAGGAAGGAGATTTCTCAGAAAATCCAGCTCGAGTCTCTTCATATGATCCAGATCGAGAAGGTCTCTCAGGAAAGACAGATCTGGACTCTTCATAGAGTCCAGGCCGGGAAGGCCTCTCAGGAAACCCGGGCCTATACTTCTCAGACAAGCCAGGTCGAGAACGTGGTCTCTCAGAATGGCCAGCTCTAGGATCCTCGTGTGCCCCTGGCCGGGAAGGAGGTCTCTCTGGAAAACCAGCTCTGGGTTCCTCGTATGGTGCAAGCCGAGAAGGTCTCTCAATAGAGATAGCATCCCTACCAGCTCCAGAACCGGGCCTTTCAAACACTTTCTGGCTATAACGAACCTTGTCATCCAATTCCCGCCTCAGCAGTTCCAAATCCTTCTCTCTTTTAAGAATAAGATCCTGTAAACAGCTTTGCTCTTCACCAGATTTTTCCAGAAATTCCTTTTTCAGGTGCTCAATTTCTTCTTTCAAACTGTTTTCCTCTTCTGTCTCAGGCCTGAAACATTACTTCCCAGTTAGTCTAATAATTTCCATTTTTTTCTGCATTTTGTCCTAATTTTATTGTTTATTTTAGAAACAGGTGCAGCTTGCTTCAAAACAAGCGCACAAAACATTCACACTTAACACTGCAGCTCAATAGTCATAAGGCGTGTCCAAACTGAACATGCTACTGTTATCATTAGTTAAAAACATATTTGATGAGCATATTTTTTTGTAAAGTTGCAGTATCCAGGAACAAGATTTATATGGACTTACATGGATAAAGTTGCAAGAAGACACAAACAAGCAGAAGAAACTAGACCACAATTACAACAAAAATATATTAAAACCTATGTCCATGATTGGATGATCTTATTCTGCTTTTAGTAAGTTGATCTCATTCCAAAATGATTTGTCTTTGCAGTGTAACCTTTAGTTAAAGCACCTATGCGACAATTAAAAATTTTTAATTAATAATTAGAGGTCAAAATAAAGAAGTGATGTCAAATATCAAAATTTTCAATTCTCGTCTGATACTACATGCCAACACAGACCAGGGTATTCCATAGCCATTACCAATGTAAAAAGATGAGATTTAATGTTATATACATATACAACTACAACTCCCCTCACCCAATGTTAACTTCGCAAAATTATGACATCAAAGCCTGCATTCATCCTGTTTTAGTATATGTATTTATTCAATATGGATTGCAACAAAAGTAAAACCTAAGTGTGAAATCAAGGGCAGCTGACAAAATTAGAAACCTCCCCCTACAGTTCTTTCTCTCTTTTATACTTCATAGGCGATCGCTTTGTGATTAACTGCTCTAAAAAACTGCTTGATCGCCCTATAACTACCCACTTTCTTTGTAGTGGCCATTTTGTCATGCAACTGTCCTTTTAACTGCTGCCATTATCTTGCATCGTTCAACCGCTTTGGATTGAACCCCTCGAGTCGTGGAACGTGATAAAGTTACTTTAGCAACTGCCTCAATACCTGCATCATAATGCGTTATGTTTGTTGATACCTTGGGCGATTTGAACATTTGGGCGAGACTTTGGACGACCGTATGCCACTCTATTCGTTCAGACTCTGAGCGACTTGCAAACTTGGACGATGGCGTTACCGCACTATTGGGCCCCTTATTTGGGCATTCACCTTGATTCGTTCAATTGAATTTCGTTCTTTGGGCTATCTGATTTGGGGATCCTCCCATTGGGTTTTATTCTCTGGGCTGTTCGATTTGGGCTGAATTTTTATGTGTCAACACTTTTATTGACAATAGGGTGGATTCGGTGCAGATCGTACATTCTGTGTGCTGTCATGCCAAAAGGATTTTCTTTCACATTTTCTCTGTAACCCAGTTAAGTTTGGAATTAAGTGAGTTCGAGGCACCAGCCTCATTTATTTTTTTTATTTAAATGAGATGGAGCACCCAAAATCACCCTGTTCCACCCGACATTAAAACAGTGCAAAAATACTTGCTCATTTCGCATCTCATCTGACCAAACCAATGAGGTGATTTTATTGTTAGTATGATTTTATTTTTATTTTTTGCATCGTTCAAGCCAAGGCAAATTCTTTTGCCATAGTGATATACAATGTAAAGTCAACATGTTTACGATAAAAATAAAATAATGTTGCTTAGGAATATGTTAACGTTATTTTGAAATAACTTCTCTAACAAAACACAATTATTAAAGGACATACTCGATTTGAATTTTTTTTAAATACTTTTAACAATGAATATTATGCTTACAGATAATTACCCTAGATTAAATTTTAAACAATTAAAACACGTTTTTGCTATATAATCATTCTCAACAACCAATAGTATAGTTTTTAAATGTTGAAAATTATTTTGACGCCAAATTAGAGCTGGTAACCAAGTTGTTGTCAACTTCAACAACTACAGATATATAGTCATTGACTATCATCTTTGATGACTACGTAGTATTGGTCATTGAATGTTGAATTTTTCTCTACTTTCAGAAGTGGGATTCAATTAGTTGTTATTGTTCTATGTTAACGACCAGAAACTATGGCCGTTGTATATATGTCATATTATTTGTGTTTCTAACAAACAATTACGTTGTCATTGAATATCAATATATATTTTGGTGGGATTTCTTGATTAGGTGTCCACTCAACGACCAATATTAATTTAGTCACAGAATATATAGAATTAACGACTAAAATTTTGGTCGTTATAATATATTTCCAACTAATTCAAAATTCGACTGTTCATCATCTATTTTCTACGATCAAACTTATCATTTGGTTGTTAAAAATAATTTTTAACGGCCAAATTGATTTGATCATTGAAATATTTATTGTAAAATATCATTTTTCCTTTAGTGTGCGTTGACTCAAAAACAAGAATTTGCATTACCTTAGTATTGCCTATGGCAAGCCATTTTCAAGGGAATTGGTGGATCTGAAAATGAGCCATTCACAATTTGATCAAAAACCCATTTGTTTGCAGCCTCAGTATAGTGTACTCCATCCCAGTTTATCATAACTGATGGATCCTCGCATGATTTTCCCACCATTATTTCTTTCCCATTCACTTCAATTTTGCTTCCACAACCATAATGTACGTTGTAGTTGTATCTCCCTCCATGCCCACAACAAGCTCGTAGAGGGTGGACGAACCCTGTAAATATTTACAACGTGGTCAGTATGCAGTATTGAATAGAATAATAGACAAAATTTTAACTTATTTTTCTTCGTCCATGAACATTTTTCGGTGTTACATAGCCACTTTACCGTGAAGTTTAAATCTTGATTTTGTCAATGGTGAAGGAGCGGGTATAAACATGTTAGTCACATAACTTATATGGTTGTTTTGATTTCGCCAACAATTTTTACTTTTAAAACGACTGACGAATTGGTCACCAGATTTTTATTTTTGTTTTATTTTATTCAAGCCAGTTAAATTAACAGAAATGCCAATGTGTCAATATTGCCATTGCCATTGTCGATGCCTTTTTTGTCAATCTAGCATGCAGAATGACTAAACTAAAATCGAAATGAATGTTCAGTGACTAAATTTAGAAGGAAAAAAAATACAGTAACCAAGCAAACAACTATATAAGTTGAGGGACTAACAAGATTTTTACCCCTGTAAGGAAATACTCACCATACTTCTTTGCTTGACTGATGAGCTTGTACCTCACTGAATAGACATCAACATAAGTGAAGGCTGCTAATGGAAGATCCTTTCGGAGACGAATCACAGCCTTCTTCAACCCACGGTTGAAATATTGAGCAACCTCGTTAAAAGGGGCTGCACATCCAGCCTTATCAACTTGTCCGGCAGTGATTTGAAGACGGTCCAGAATATACGGTAGACAACCAACCGGTCCAGTGTTGTGTATCCAAAACGACCTACCTCCATGATCATATATATACTGCACGAAACGAAGACAAAAAATTTTGCTTGATCGTTAATAAACTACTAACGCGCGTATATTAAATACGGGTGACAAGAGTCGAATTCAGAATGTTATAGTATCTTTACCTTCATAATGGTTTTGAATTGATCTAGAACATCAGGAACATATGCTCTGACTTGATCAATGCTCATGTTGAGGAAATAACCAGCAGTTAAATCATTTTGGCCAATATCAAATGTGTACAAGGCACGCGAAAAATCGACGTCCTTAGGCAATAGTCCCTTGAAAACTCCCCCTTCATAATGACACAAAAAGAACAATTCGATTACTACTGCATGCCATGTTAGTTTTGGTCTTCCATTCTGATGTCTATTAACTAAATTGTTTGAGAAAGTAGACATTTGAGTAAATTAATGAACTGAAAAATTGTGGTAATTAAATGCTAATAACTACCTTTACTTCGGAGAATCTGAGATCTATGTTGAAAATCATTGAATTGATAATATTGTACGTTTAATGAAAAGGGACTAAAACCGCTCTGATGTAAAGTCGTGTTTTGGGGTCTAATGGTTGAACCAGCAGCGCGAAATTGGTACCGTGGCTGAAATTTGAGCCTAACGCATCGAGGAAAGCGTTCAAATATGGTAGTCCCAAGCTCTCAGCTGAAATGACAGCGTCAATGGTGTCAGCAATTAAGAACTGAATATAATTGAGATAGAAATATTAACAAACTGTCCACATCAAACTATTTGGCTTAGTTTTTGTTAATATGTGATATAATGAAAAAGAACATACTAGAAATAAATAGTTACCAAGGAAAATATCAAGTCATGGAGAGAAGAAATTAGCAAATCAAGGTCTGTGTAAACACGATGTTCTTAGAACAAATTCTTCTCCTCACCGTAGGTACTCGAGATTTTGTTTGAGCGTCCGTTAGGCAAAACGGAACCTCCTAGGGGGCCAATTTTTGGTCAGTTTGATCCAACATGTACGCAGGTTGCGCTCACACATAAGTTATAAGGCCTAACGTAAAATTTGGTCCATAATTTGCACGCCCGTGAAAAGAACCTCTATGTCACACATGAGTAGTCGTATATAAACCAATTTTTGCCTTGATCATTTTCCTATGTAAGACAACTATAATTGTTTTTCCTCCAACATGTTAAACGGTACACTTTGAACTCCAATTTCTCGGAGCATCAGTTTTGACAAGTAGATATATGATTTCAATGTTCTCACAAAAAAAAAAAAAAAAAGTCAATCTAGTGATCTACTTTGATCTATCAAAACGAAGGAACAAATCCAACTCAATTTATTGTCATAATTAGCCCATACAAAAGACTTTTTTTCTACAGTTTTCAGTATGTTATTGGCTTATTTTGGTAATAAGCACACAAGATGGCGAAATACTTAAAAGCTTCGCCAAAATATGCACAGAGTACCAATTGCAAGAACTTCAACTGTAAATTATTCTATCCTTCTTGTATAAATGAATGTGCAAGCAGAAGAAAAAAAAAATTGTCTTCTTAGTTCTTACCAATAAAATCAATAACCAGCCTGCCGTTGCAGTACCGCCCTGCCGGTCCATGGAAGTACGACTCTCCATTGGGCGGCGCAGCCTGGCCGAACGCCGCGGACAAGCCACCGGTATCAGAATTCGAGTCGCCAAAGTTAAATATAGCTGGAAACTCACAAATGGTTTTAGCATATACTGGATTTGGAATTGAAAGTGATAAGATTACTGTAAGAAATAATAATATTATCTGAGAATGGGATTCCATGATAGAGAAAGCTATGCAGGAGAGGACAAAGCAAAAAACAGTGAATGATTTGAAGAGACGAAGGAAAAGACAGTTTTAAGGTGGTCCGAATTCACGTGGTCTGTTAAACTATGACTCGACCCTCCCGTTCTCAATTTTGTGTCGGTAAAATTTGAAGTGAAACATGTTTTCTATAATAATTAAATTACTATAAGGATTTTTGAAGACCATTATTACATTACTATTTTTAGGACTGTTATTACATTACTAATAAAGGATTTTTGAATCTTTACTATTGTTGGAACTGCAATGAAACGAATAGAAGATACTAACTTGTTATTACAACATTCTTAATTTTCTTATAAAGGCTAGCTAATTGCAAAATTTAATTTTATCATAATAGTATTTTTATCTTTTATATGCTTTTGTTCCAAATAATCCAGGTGGCTTCACATAAAAAAATATAATTATCTTTCTTGACTTTCAAAAATGTGTCAAGGTGTCGTTCGATATGATGTACACGTGGACGTACTCTTCAATATATAGATTTTATGCTTAGACACACATTCGATTAATAATGTAAGATAGTCTCATATGTTTTAAGTAAACATGTAAGATAAGAACTAAATATAAAACAATGAGTGGTTTATCTTTCTAGAGAGAAACAAGCAATACCCTTTTTATGTCTAAAGATCCATCCATCAAAACGTTATACAAACAGCTATTTATAATGATCAAGTCGATGTGGTCACCGTTGGATCCAATCCAAGTGGTCTAATCTGTTAGATTCTGGTGTCGCATCAACTCTATCTCATATTAATTACATTGACAGACATTTGACAAGAGGTCAACCACTCTATACTCTTAGGCTGACATTCTTGATACATATTTAATGAGAACGTCACATCAATTAATCCTAAAGATACGCTTATCAGACCCTCCTCTGGGCGTTAGGGACTTCAGACATTAAGGGGTTTGATAGAAAGAAGTACCCCCACTTTGGATACAAACCACTTCGGAGAATCCAATATAACTATCTCGGCCGTTAATGAAATTACTTTCATAACTCCTTCGCTCTTGACCCAATGCCACGTGTGTGATCATGGGGCTTCCATATGGTTCTCATTGAGAGCACTACTTATGATCAATAACAATCTTGAAAGTGCTTATAAGTTAAAATCAAACTGATTGGGTGACAAGCGACATATGGCCCGGTACTTTTGCGTGTTTCTGATTATAATCTGTTCAAAAGTTGTTTATTTATTGGTATTCTATTTTTGGAATCCGGAGTCCTAAAGAACGGCTTTATGGGTTGGCTGATGGCATTGCCCCTAATCATTAATGCTTTTCCAGTTTCCTTTTTGGGCTTAATTAATTAATCCCTCCGTCGATAATCCTGTTTCCATTGTTGTTTATCCCAAATTATAGTTCCTTTTTTATTTGAGAACGTAGTTATTATATTAATTTCCTAATATACTCTTATTTAGTGGGCTTCGTTATCACAAATATAAATCACTTCATTATTCAATTGTAGTTGAACAATAAAAATAAAAATAAAAATAAAAATAAAAAGCAATCATCCTCCATGACATTTATTAATTTGTATTTGTATTTGTATTAGATGACTTTAGAATGTTAATCATATTGATTCTTGCGTTAAACAATTACTAATACCAAAAATAGTTTAACTACCTTGAATATTGGATGCATAATTTTATTACTTTTAATATTGATTACATTAATTTAAGAATATATTAGGAAAAATGATAATAAAATTTACTATTGACTATATTTACTAAATTTTCTTATTCTACGTGAAAAATTAAATAGTACTTTTTTAATGGGACGGGGGAATCGGAGATTTGGGTTTTAAAGTTATTCTCCAAACAAAATAAAATCTAATGAAGCACACGCATGATTAAAAAAAGGACCATTGTAATTCTATTTTAGGTCATATTTCATTGCACCCCAATTTTATAAAAATTAGAAACTAAATTCCATCTTTCCAATTTTTTGTTGTATAAGCCAATTTCTAGCTTTTCCTTAAATTGGAATTAGAATTCCAATTTTTGGGTTACTGTCGCGTTTTTTTTTTCAATTTTTTTTTTTGGCAATAAAAATAAATTCTAAGAATTATTGTAAAAAAATATTTCCCTTTAATTAACAATTTTTATATAAAATAAAGTCTAACGAATATCAAAATATAAATGATTTTTTTTTTTTGACAATGAAAACAAATTTTATCCCCAATACCAGTAAATTATCTCTTTAATCGGCAATTTTTATGTATAACAAAGTTAAGCAAACACCAAAAAATATTTTTATTTCAACATTTTTCACGTAAAAAATTATATCGGTCAAACACAATAATTTACAATCTCCAAAAAAATAATTTCTAGGCAATTTAATTCTCTAAAATTTATTTTCTTTCCACCCTAATTTCATCTTTGTAATCAAACGGACCTTAGATACTTTATTTAAAATAATATACTCGCTATAATACAACAAATATGTAAAAGTAGAACAAGAAAGAACGTGTCTTTATCCAGATCAATAATTTACGAAAAAAGAGTCGCACAAATGAGCCACGTGCTAAAGACCAGATTATCCTTAAGAGGAAAATAAACTATTAAATAGTTCAACGAGTAAGGCGCTGGTCTATGGAACCAGAGATTTTTGGGTACGTTCCCCCCTGCGGACTCGTCATTTTTGTGGATTTTACTATTTTCCACATTGATCTCGTCCAGAAGAAAAGATTAGTAAAGAACCAAACACGGCCCATATGGACCAACTTTATCTTGTGGAAACTAAACCTCCACTACATACATGGATGCGATGCTCAAAAGGGTATCTTGATGGGAGAAGTGCTATAGTGACGGGCCTTCTGGACAGGCCGAGGTGATAGGGTGAAGGTGTTGCCAGATAAAACTCTTTCGACAGGGGCTGGTGGCAGACAACCCCCCAATAGGGGACTGCCACATAGGCCCTGTCTATCCATATAGCATTCCCTGTGTTGCCACCTCAGCCCTATCATCTGGACCTGTCCAAAAGGCCTGTTAGAGTAGCAAAATTCATCTTGATGGTACAATCGAACACACGATTATAACTTCTTTTTCTTTTCGTCAATATCGTTACATCCACGTCACTAATATGTTACAAAGAGTATAAGCAGCAAAATAAGACAAACTATTGCAGAATGAATTAGAACAGCTGAAGAAAACAAATTATATAGAACAGGGAAAAAAACGTTACGGTTCAGAAAGAGAGGGGGAAAAGCCAAAATCGGGGCGGCGCAGCAAGACGGGCATTACAATAGAGTCCTTATGAAAAATGCGCAAAATAGGTTATGCGACTAAAAGAAAGAAAGAGTGCAATTTTACAATTAATCAAGCGATATCAATGTCAGTATTCAATAATTCTAGCTCCATTTCTCACAACCAAAGCGCGAGAGATTTAATGAGAGCTGCCGAAGTTTTATTTTGCTCTAACGTCAGAGGACTAAAAGCAGAACGGCTCAAAGAATCCACAATAACTGAAATTCACCACCTCGGCCTTGACCTGCCATATGATAACAAGTCCGGATCACATATCCTAACTCCAAGTCAATAGATCTCAAGTATATAATCCATGCTAAGACACAATTGCATGGACTTTGAGTAAATGTTGCAAGACCAAGAGAAATTTTTTTTTAAAAGAAGGTGAATGTTAGCAAGATATACCTGTCCACGTCTCTGCTTCCCACAAATCCTCTAACCCCGCCACCTTGAGAAGCTTTCCTGTCATCAATCGGCCTTGTCCTGGAATTTACAGTGCCACGAGATCGAGGCCTCTCCATGTAGTCAACAGCTCTGGGATCTTGATATGCCTGTGATAAGGAAGGAGATTTCTCAGAAAATCCAGCTCGAGTCTCTTCATATGATCCAGATCCGGAAGGTCTCTCAGTAAAGACAGATCTGGACTCTTCATAGAGTCCAGGCCGGGAAGGCCTCTCAGGAAACCCGGGCCTATACTTCTCAGACAAGCCAGGTCGAGAACGTGGTCTCTCAGAATGGCCAGCTCTAGGATCCTCGTGTGCCCCTGGCCGGGAAGGAGGTCTCTCTGGAAAACCAGCTCTGGGTTCCTCGTATGGTGCAAGCCGAGAAGGTCTCTCAATAGAGATAGCATCCCTACCAGCTCCAGAACCGGGCCTTTCAAACACTTTCTGGCTATAACGAACCTTGTCATCCAATTCCCGCCTCAGCAGTTCCAAATCCTTCTCTCTTTTAAGAATAAGATCCTGTAAACAGCTTTGCTCTTCACCAGATTTTTCCAGAAATTCCTTTTTCAGGTGCTCAATTTCTTCTTTCAAACTGTTTTCCTCTTCTGTCTCAGGCCTGAAACATTACTTCCCAGTTAGTCTAATAATTTCCATTTTTCTCTGCATTTTGTCCTAATTTTATTGTTTATTTTAGAAACAGGTGCAGCTTGCTTCAAAACAAGCGCACAAAACATTCACACTTAACACTGCAGCTCAATAGTCATAAGGCATGTCCAAACTGAACATGCTACTGTTATCATTAGTTAAAAACATATTTGATGAGCATATTTTTTTGTAAAGTTGCAGTATCCAGGAACAAGATTTATATGGACTTACATGGATAAAGTTGCAAGAAGACACAAACAAGCAGAAGAAACTAGACCACAATTACAACAAAAATATATTAAAACCTATGTCCATGATTGGATGATCTTATTCTGCTTTTAGTAAGTTGATCTCATTCCAAAATGATTTGTCTTTGCAGTGTAACCTTTAGTTAAAGCACCTATGCGACAATTAAAAATTTTTAATTAATAATTAGAGGTCAAAATAAAGAAGTGATGTCAAATATCAAAATTTTCAATTCTCGTCTGATACTACATGCCAACACAGACCAGGGTATTCCATAGCCATTACCAATGTAAAAAGATGAGATTTAATGAATATCTAAAAATATTTAATTACCATATAGACATGATATGAATTTATATAGAAAAATTAATTACCAAACATGCATTAGGAAAAAGAATCTCCATATATAGAAGTTAAAAAAATTGGCTAAATCTTTTATTATTATGCAAAAGATACTAAACATGCATGTGAATTTCACATATATAGAAATTAAAAATAGAACTAATACGTAACAGATTCAAAAGATAGAATTAATACTGAATAATATGTAGAAAAAATGATCGTGTATGAATAAAAAATGTGGATTAATATGTGTTAATATTACACATACAAACGTGAATTAGAGTTAATATGTATGTTGATGAAAAGTAGAGAAGAAGAAGCAACCTCGTTATGATGCATATGTATATTGAAATAGTTCACATGCTACCAAATTAATTTTTGTACACGTGATAAATATTCATGCCTATAAAAATTATTACCTTCATTAAACTTTAAAAAATTAAGCTATCGCGTTGACAACATGTTATAAAAGTGAAGAAAAGAGAAGAGAACAGAGAGAAGTCAATATACTTATGTGTGTTTTATTAAGAACCAAAGCTCTGTATTTATAGGACAGAATTAGGGATACAACAGTAATTATTTCTAGAGCTGCAGGGGTGTAATTGTCATTCACCTCTAAACCCTAATAATCTTTCCTTTTACAACACAATTATAATTTTTCCCACATTCACTCTTTTTGACTAATTTCTTCTGTACAAATGGCAAAATCAATATAAAAAGAATGAATGGCACAAAACCCCTTGACCTTTACATAGATTGTGGACTATCCACTATCATTTCATTTTGATGGATAACCTCTTTAAATGACCTTTTTCGGTGTAGAATACAATATTTTCTTCAAATTTTTTTTTTCAGAAGGCTTGTAAAATGATGAATATATACTCTTATTTGAAAAAAAAAAAAAAGAAGAAGAAGAAGGATAGAGCTGTTTGTAGGCTAATTTGACAAACATCTGAGCTGTTTACTATATAGCCAGCATGGTTAGAACTACCCACAATTTCTATAGAAGTTAGTAAAGTTCACTTTATCGGAGTTAAAACAAAAAATTGTTTTACATTAATAAAAAAAAAAAAAAAAAGAAGAAGAAGAAGGATAGAGCTGTTTGTAGGCTAATTTGACAAACATCTGAGCTGTTAACTATATAGCCAGCATGGTTAGAACTACCCACAATTTCTATAGAAGTTAGTAAAGTTCACTTTATCGGAGTTAAAACAAAAAATTGTTTTACATTATTCTCTTTGGTAAATGAAACTAGGCTAAAAATACAATGCGGTACTGAAATCTCACAGAGAAATTCCAAGTAAACGCAAGTCATGAGCTCTAATTTTCATAAAAAAAAATTTCCTTCTTCATTTTTTCTTGTGAACTTGTCTCTATTTTCTAAAACCCAAGGGTCTAAAAGACGTAAGCCATGGTAATACGTGGAGGTCAAGCCCAGAGCCTTATGAGCCTACGTAATTAATTCTTTTCATTAGATTATATATGATATATTAACACCAAAAAAGTACCACCAAATGTCTGAAAATCAAAGAAGAAAATAGAAAATAAACCTTTCTAAATTAACAATGAATAAATATAGATTAAAAGGAAAAAAAAAAAGAAAGAGAGACAGGTTCTAGATCTTATGACAAAAAAAATAAGATGAAAAAAGTTAAAGACACTGATAACTAAACGCTTTATAAGAATCCAGTGTGGATAAAGCACTACTGTAAATGTAATTAGTCATACAGATGGTCATAGGCCCTCCCATTCTCCAACTAGGTACCAAAACATCAAATACCCTTCAAAAAACTTATAAAGCTGTTCATAAAATAATCAACAAACATGATAGCTGTTAACTTACAGCCACCAGTTAGAATTACACACACTTTCTATAACTTACAAGCATTAATCATAACACAAAAAATGTAAAGGTAAAACAGCATGTAAAATAAACAACACTAACAAAATGCATAATACAAATACAATTTTCCCCATTTTCAAGAATTGCAATCAGTAAGATAACTATCGATGAATTTAAATCAACAGGGATGACTAAAACAGAAAAGTATGAAAAGAGAACCTCTCAACTAGTCGATGCTCCAATTCCAGGTCAATCTTCCTCCAATCCAAGCCCTTCTGCTCAAGCAAGACTTCCCGAGGCTTAGCATCACCAAATGGGTTCATTTTTGGGGTCTGCTTGGCTGCACCTTCAGCCATCCCTGACTGCAATGTCGTGAGACTCTCTGACCTGCTCGAATGAGTACTCCCAGGTCTACTCGACTGTGAGCTAGTAGGCCTACTACTGCCAACAGAATGCTGTTGCTTCTTCACTTCAATTTCGATATCCATTTTCTTCCAATCCAATCCCTTCTCCGCCAAAACCTCCTCCCTTGGCCTTGCTGCCCCAAATGGATTCGACTTGTTCACTTTAACTAGCACGTCAGCATCACCACCACGATCACTTTTGGTAGGGTCCAGGACCAATCTCTGACGTTCACCTTCATTTCGAGTCCAGCGATCGGGCTCAAGCCTCCCGAACCCGGAAGATCTCGCCTGTTGTGGCGGCTGAGATTGCACAAAGGGCTTCTTAGTAGCCACCCAACTGTCCACTTCATCAGCCCTTGAAATCCCATCGGAGGATCCTCCAAGAGAACTATACCTCGCAGGACGACCCGCCGGACCCGAAGTGTAATCGGGTAGGGCTTTCTTCCCTGAAGCCCAGTTATCAACTCCGTCAGCTCTCGAAGTTTGTTGATCGAACCCCGAAACCCTAGTTGGTCCTCGGCGATTCTCATCCTCAAACCCTCCATAAGATCTCCGGTTCTCAAACTCCCGAGTCGGTCGATCGGAATACCCGTCACCATATCCAGAACCCGGTCGGTTTCCATAACTAGGAAACCCTTCTCCGAGCCGCCCGTGCTGCATTTCGTCAGGTGGACGCTCCCTAGGTCGAGTGGGTAGCCGGAACATTTCTTCCTGAGTCAAGCCTCGGCTAGGCGGAGCCGATCCGGAGCCATAACTAGGTTGCATCGTGAACTCGTGCAAGCTCATCTTGGTTTTCTTCTTCTGTTTCGTGTTCACCGCCTCCTTCAGGCTTGGAAAATTACCTCCTCCGGCTTGAGCAGCAGCAGCGGCTTGTTCTGCCTGTTCCCGTTCTTCGGCTTCGGCTCTCTCCGATTCGGCGGCCCAGTCGCCAATATTTTTCCATGGTGATTTCGACATTTCTTCAAACGATCTATAATCAGAAACAAATTTTTCGATTCGAAACCAACATCTGAGATTTTATACCATATCGTGTATGTAGAATTACGAGCGGAGGCTCCGAATAGGGAGCCGGAGCTCCAACCACATGAACAGAGGACTAGAGTGTGTGTTTTTGTGTGTGTGCGCGCGCGAGAGAGAGAATGTGTGTGGGTTGGGGTGATGGAAATGGCCAGAAAAGAGGCAGTTGTGGATGATAGAGAATAGAATGGTGACGTGGATGCTTATGATTGGTTTTGAATGTAGGGTCGACATGTGGGGACGGTGAAAATATCAAAGGCTTTTCGTGTCAGTCAATTTGAAAACAATCTAATGAGGACTGTTTGGGTAGTGCAATATGCTATCGAGGGGAAATTTTGTTTTAATTTTATAATCATGATCAACCCTAAAGATCCGTTTGGATAGTTTCTTTTTCTGCTTTTGTAGAAATGCTCTTTTAAATTGTCACATAGGGCCAACTTTCTTCAAAAGTAATTGACCTGTTAAAAGTTTCATCATTTAATCCTAACCATCGATTAAATATAGGTTAGCAATTGAATCAGGTCTCTAGCGAGCCCCATGGTCAAGCTCTTGAGTATCTGGCTCGTAAGCAATCTCAGCCACAAAGCTTTCTTTTTAACGTGGTGAGCACAATTAAACTTTTCTTCAAAGGCTTGTAAGTTTTACAAGCTAACTCGTATGTGAGGTCCGTCTAGAAATGCATCTTTTGTAAAGGAGGGAGTTCAGGATTGAAGATCAACTAAACGGTCATTGATCATTGATCATCAACAACCAACGACCGTATTAGCGAGGTCATTTATTAATTTTAAATGAATTAAATGTAAGAATTTAAGAATTTCAGTAACATGAACACTCCAATGCTTAAGATAAAATTTTCCTAGTTCAATAGAACGGAATAATGAAAAGTAAAATCTTTAAACATTCAACACAAAATTGGAATAGAGTTCGTCACTGGTATCTCAATTAATCCAGATTTCCTTAATTTGACCACGCGAATAATTATTTCTCAAAAGAACTTAAAACAAAGAATACGTAAAGGTGAAAAAATGTTCATTCTATAATTAATCCCCTTGGAAATGTTAATGTTTCAATAATGGGACAAACTTATAGATGAATTGATATAGCACAATTTTTGAGCTCTACAGGGTTAAATTAATTAATATACCCGCAAAGCGTTCGATATGTGCTTCTTTCGTTAAATATAAATCTCCAATCAAATGATCAATGCATATAAAATATTACTTCTACTTCAAGTTCTAAAATTATGATCATACTATATGAAACTTATTGACAAATAAGGCATAGTTATTATAAATGTACCTTAAACTCAGTGGCCGTTTCTTGAACAAGCCTCTGGATTTTGGAAGGGCAGCTTCCTAATCCTAATCAATACTTGTGAGTTGCGAATTTACTGTATCATAACATTTATATAATAAGCATAAACCAGTAGGAAGGTATCAACAGAACTAAAAAAGTAATCGAACTACTGAAGTAAAGGAACACTTGCAGTTGCTGTCTACCGAAGAGCAAGTGTGAAACTGGGCGGTGCTGGCTTGCCGCCCGTGACGGCGTGAGTCAGGGTGCTGCTACAGGAGCAATGGGAGCCGGGAGGTAGAACATAGAAGGTTGGGTTTGGCTTCTGTGTTTTTTGAAAATGTGAGAAGTGATGAAATGTTGTATGGTACTCTCTTTGTTTCATTTATATAGACTGATTTTGTTTTTCATACGAGTTAAGAAATCATATTTAATGTTATTGAAGAGTAATTTTTGCAAAAACAATCCTGATTTACTCTTATTTACATTTGTACAATTTCAAGATTAAGGAGGAAAATTGGTTATAATTAAGTAAATTAAATAAAGGTATGTTGGTAAACAAACAAAACAAAACATTATCAATAGATAAACAGAATTATATAATTAGGACAAGAAAATAACAAAGTCGGCCAATATAAATGGGACGGGTGGGGTAATTGATATGGTCTATGGCACTATTGAATTTTATTTCCTTCACAGTTTCAAATGCATCTGTAATTAGGGATGTCAACGAGCTGAGCTGAGTTGGCTCGCGAGTTAGAATTTCTCGAGCTTTTTTTGGCCCGAGCCGGGAAATTATGGCTCGACCCGACCGGACCGATCTCGATTTCTAGATATATTTTTTTTTTACAAGGCAGCTAATCTGCTGCCAAGTTGCTACCAACGGGCAACAGATTTTTCCTCTCTTTTTCCTTTTTTCTTTTTCTTTAATAGGGCCAACTCGAGCCAACTCTTAAAAATGAGGCTCAGTGCCTCCGAGCCTCGAGCCAAGTCAGCTCGAACTTTTTCTGAGCTGAGCTATGAGTGGCTCAAGTCAACTAGCCCAATTGCTATCCCTATCTATAACTGAGCACGGACGGGCTCGCCTCTAAATTCCAATGGATGCAGCATAGACAATCGTGGCCCTCGCTAAGTGCTAGAACATTTGAAAGTGATGGATACATCACACACTCAAATTTGAATTTTGTGCCATGAATTGGAAAAAAAAAATGTACACGAAAAATAATCATATACTTATTTTTTTGAAATTTGTACAAGAAATATTTAATTCATATACATTATATCTCTAATTACGATTAATGTAGTCTATCTCAAGGCCCAAAAAAAAATAATAATAAATAAATAAATAAATAAGAGTAGAATTATAAAATTATAAGCTGTATTATTGTATTTTTTTTCAAGTGAATATTTTCATTTGTATAAAGTTTGAAATCAAAGCATTTGTATACTTTAATATTTCATTCAAATGATCATATCTAAAATTCAAAAAAATTAAAATAAATAAATAATCAACTTTTCTTTTTTTCATTAAAATGGATAAATTGCTCTAGAATTTTCGAACCTTCGAAAGTTGTGGAGTCTTGAACCTTTGATTTCTAGCACTTATGATAGAAACATCAGTTTGGTTTAAAATGTTAAATTTTGAATTAAATAACTATTTTACCATTGTTTGATTTAAAACTAAATAAACTAAAATAAGAAAATTTTAATAAAGAAATAAAGAAAAGGACACACCCCCCCGCCTATCACCACCCCAACTCTCCACAAACCACAAGCACATCTCTCATCCTCTTCCCAATTAATGAGGAAGATTTCCTAGTGGTTTTCTTCAACATTTGCCAACGAAAGGATCGGAGGGAAGCCATAAAAAATCTCGAGTTCTACCACAGCACCACTGGTCCTGCTCCACCACCACCGAAGCCACCCCAATTCTCCATGACCTTGCTATATTTGTTGTTCAACAATTATATCTGTAGGTAAAATTGGGAAGATATTATACATTGGAAAAGGAAAAAAACCAATGTGAAATCAAAACAAAAGAAGTTGGCGAATTAGGCAACAACTGCGCGATGTAGCCATGCATGTGCATGGGCAGATGGGCTACAGTGGCGGATCTAGGTAGTGTCGAGTCAGTGCAGCCGCCCTAGCTGGATTCTCCCAACCCACCTGTAACCTTTTTTTTTGTTGGCAATAGATTAAAGTTTTAAGTTATATTGCTAGTAATCAGTTTATTTTCAAGAATCTCTTGTGGCTCACTTGGTCAGACGTTGAATGTATGTAGTGGAGGTCCTGAGTTTGAATTCTTTTACCAACAAACTATTGTGGAATAATATTTAAATACAACAATTTTTGCCAAAATTCAAGAGAGTGGGGGACCAAACAAAAATTCGAACTTGTGACTTTTGTTAGACATAGTATAAACTTCACCGCTATGGCACCCATTGATTATTGCCAGTAAGGTTAACAAAAATAATATTTGTTAGTTTTATCTATTGTAATGCAAGTGCAACTATAAAGATTTGAATACGTGCTCTTCCTTTAAAATATACAAAGCTTGGCAACCATGTTATTAGATGAGTTCGTTCATTCTTATAACATAACTACATATGTTCAATTTGAACAAAATAATTGTTAAAATTTAAACTTTAGACCTTATTTGATTCCTACTTTTTTTCAAATACATTTTTTATCTCTTCTTTTCAACAACATATTCTTCATTAAAATAATATTATACGTAAATTCAAATTTATTTTTTTTAGCCACACATCTCTATCAAACCACTATTACAAAATCCTTTTTTTTCCTTTTTTTCTTTTTTTGCAAAAAATTGGTATCAAACGAACTCTTAATATTTTCTTGCGGTCGACGGTAGACAGTCAACGACCGCCCGTGCTGATTCAAACTCCTAGATTCGCCCTTGATGGGCTATTTCTGCAAAAGCAGAAGTTAATCTGTTTAAATCATTCGCACGCATGGCCTGGAAACAAGCTGTTAAGAATGGTTTCCAATTTTTATTCTTGGCAGCTTTTCACGAAAAAATTCAACTTTTAATGAATGGTTGGTGTTATGTCGTGAGCTGTGAGTAGAAAACTATAAATAGGTTATTATTTTCAATTACAAACACATGAAATGCACAATCAATAGCCATATATAACGTCTTTATTCCAATTCATTTTCATATTTAAACTTTTAGTGTTCTTCAAGTTCTTGAAAGAAAAACAAAAGAGTTTGATTATTTTTTTTCTTAAGGACTTGTTCGATTCTACAAATCGTTTGCCTTTAATCCCTTTAAGCACTGAAAATAATTGTAGAATAACAAATATCGTTTAAGGACAACGATCATGCGTTCAAGTCTTATTTTTAATTCCAATGTTATTGATTTGTTTTTAGTTCCGTCCTCCCATTCTGCTAAATTTTGTTGAACAATCTCAAACAATATTTTTCTATAGAGATCGAGACAACCATGGCTATTAACAAACTCATGAATCAAGACCGTATAAGGTTGGGTCATTTTGATGGAACGAACTTCACTCGATGGCATGATAAATTGAAGTTCTTGCTAACGGCATTGAAAATCTTCTACATTCTTGATCCAAACTCGGTGGAGACTCGAAAGTCGTAAGGACTGAATGACAAAAAGTTCAAAAGGGTGAATTGAATTATTGTTGTCATATTCTAATGATTTCTACAGCAATATCTTTATAGGTAAAGAGATTTGAAATGCAGTGGCAAACAAATGAAGAAGAGAGGAGAAAGGTATAATTCTTAATATCAAGGTATTTCGATTTTAAATTTTTTAAGAATACTCCCCTACTTCTCCAAGTGCTTGTCGACAAATTAAAGACGGTCAAAATAGAACTTT